CTTTACATAGGCCATCAACTATGGTGTTATATGTAGTTGGGGATGGAGAAACATTGCTTAGGATCATATCGCAGAAGATTTTGTTAGCTTCTACCGATTGTCCAGTTTTAAAGAAACAGATCATCAAAATATTGTAACTCTATATGTTAAGAATGATATCATTTTGAAGCATTTCTTCGAACAAATTGAGACATAGTGGTAGTAAGCGATACCTGGTGGCACCGACAATCAAAGCATTGTAAGTAATGGCATCTGGGTTGATCCCAGCTTCCCTCATTCTATCAAGAACTGCGTATGCTTCATCAACTCCAACTAATCGACAATAGGCCACAACTAGACCTATTCATAGGTCGGGCCGGGTCGGGATCTAGTCGGGCTTTTGCTCTTTATTAACATAAATTTTTCAGGCCCGAGCCCGACCCTCATAAAAAGCCTGAAGCCTGGGCCCGAAGCCAAAGCCCGACCTGCGAGTCTGAGCGTCGGTGCCCTCTGAGGATTGAGAGAATGGTGTTTGCTGAGTTTGCCGATTCTTGCGAGTCTGAGAGTGAGAATAGAAACTGAGAAAGTGAGAAGATAGAATATGACAACAGTGTCGGCCAGAGAGAGAGAGATGATCTAGATCTTGTGGTGCCAGTCGCTGGTGCCTAAGTTCGCAGAATGAAAACAGTGCGCCTGGGTTCTGGTGGCGCCAGCTGGAGAGAGAACTAAGAAGATAGAAGACCTAGTTCTAAGAAGAGAGAGAACTGAGAATGAGAAGAAAGAAGATGAAAACGGTGCTGGCTGGAGAGAGAGAGATCACCGCCGAAGAGAGAGATGACTACTTCTGGTGGTGTCGGCCGCCGGTGACTGAGTTCGCCGGTTATGAGAGTTGAAAGGGAGAAATGAGAGCCGCTTCTAAGAGTGAGAGTGAAAAAATGGAATGAAAATAAAATTTTTAAGTTTTTAGGGTTAGGGTTAGACAGTTTAGGAAAAGTCAAACTGGGACGGGCTTTTTTAACAAATCTCGAGCCCGGCCCATAAAATAATCGGACTCAGGCGTTTAGGCCCAAGGTCAAGCCCACAAGCTAAAACACATGCTCAAGCCCGTCCGGGGGCCGGGCCAGGATGGGTCAGCCCGTTGGGCTACCCGGCCCATGAACAGGTCTAGCCACAACCAATTTATTGTAGGTTACCACATCTGGGAGACACCCTAGTCGTATACCATCAATTAAAACCACTTGCATTTTTTCTAATTGTCACACTTTACACAAAGAAGCTACACAGATATTCATTAAGCAAGTCAAAAGTCTAAGCAGAAATCCAAACATGTATGAGATGAGAGCATTCCATATCAAACGGTACTAGAAAATGTAAGAATAACTAAAGAAAAGCATCCAAGCTTTTGGAACAAAAACAAAATTTGCCCTAACTTCTCTCTTTTTTTCAAATCGGTACTGGAAAAAACATCCAAAGCAAATTTCTATTCCTTGATAGTTTCTGCATGACTTTTTTTTCATTTGTTTTCCTCATAGCTTCTTTCTATGATCATATTTGGCCACGTCAACAAATGTGATGTTACCTCCGTAATTCCATTTTTGAAATCAAAGTTGGTTTAAGACTTTAGGTACTGTAAGACTTGTCACTTTACAGTAGTAGTCATTCTTGTAGAAATAGA